TGGAGTTACAGATAGTTGTTATGCACTATGTGGGTGCTGGAAAACAAGCCCAGGTCAGCCCAACAAATCCTTTTTCTTATATATTCCCCAGCTCAACTCCAACAATAACAATAGGAAGTGTGGTAGCAGGAAAGATTGCTACAGTTGTCTAAGAAGCTTTGCTGTTTTCCTTTCCCAACTACATGTCTGTATGAGGAAAGGATTTTATATATCTTCAACCAAAACAACGTAATGCAACAGATTGAATGCATAAGCATATATGACAGCCTGTTTTCTACTAAGCCAGACATTATAGACATTTTCAGAAATGTAAAATAATTCCAATTCTTTTAAAAAAATAGGCCAAAGGGTTTATTTTTAAATTTTTATTTTTCATTCAATTTTTGAAAATTTCATGCACTATACTTCAATTGTTTTTAGACTTTCTCCCCTGTCTGAACTCTTCTTAGAGCCCTCCCTCCCCTGCCACTGGATTTTATGTACTCTGTCATATATATTAAGCCTATAGAATCAAATTCGTGTCCCCAAATGTGTCCATCCACTGGAGCCTGGTTAATCTATCTAACATCACACCATTAAAGAAAACTAACTCTCTGTCTCCCAGCAGTGATCAGTTGCCAATATTTCATCAGTTAAGTTGCTAGGATTTTGTCTGGCTTGAGTTTGTGTGGGTCTTGTGCATGTTGATTCTTGGTCCGTTTCTTGTTTTATAAAATAAATTTGTTTTCATAAAATATGTTCACATGCAGTTAGTTTATGTCTGTTCTTTAAAATAAATTAGATCTTTAAAATTGATTTAATATTAATAAATATAATAGGCATAAACAATGCGACTTGAAGTTAATAATTAAGATTACAGGAAGGATCTCAAGTCCATAAATTACCATCTAGCTCAGTGTGGTAGCGCATCCTTTTAATCACAGCACTTGGGAGGCAGAGGTAGATGGATCTCTGTGAGTTCAAGGCCAGCCTATTGAGAGTCTATCTAAAAGAAAAGAAACAAAAAGAACCTGTTTTCAGCTGGGTGAGGCTAGATTTGGTTCCTAATGAGTTGGGGGCCAGCCTAGGCAAGAGGAGACTGGCCTCAAAACAAACAAACACAGAAAAAAAGATATATTAGTTTTATTTAACCATTTTTAACAGCTGAATATTTATTCTATAAAGCTTTATAGATTATACAGTTTTTATGTAGTTTGAACTACAGAGAGGAAAAGTTGGTTACACTGTTATAAAAATGTGGTACCAATCAATCCAAGTTAAAAGCAGATTTGCACATGGTATGGCTTTCTGACTGGTCATCATGATGGTCAGTTCTAAGTATAAACTTCAGAATTGTACAGAAATGAGGCTTGAATTTTTGTTATTTATACATCCGATATGATTGTAAACTCAGAAGCCTAACTAGTAATAGGTTTAGGTATTCAGGAATCAGTTCCAATTTTTGACAGGAATGCACCCGTCTCTGTCTATTCAAAAAGGGCACTCTTAGATGTAGTCCTGTATTCAGTGTATGGTGGATATATATTGCAGATACTAAAAACATTAAATGTCAAGTACAAACTAGGATATTTTGTTTTGAAATGAGTTTTCATTAAGAGTATACAAAAACAAATTTACCTTATTGAATAAAACATTCTAAGTGAACCTAAAACTATGCCTTTTAAATGTAAGAATGCTTTTCTTTGGTGAAATATACCAATCATATCTATATATAGCAAACCAAAACTGTGTATAAATAGTCTTCACACAGCAACAAGAAACATTTTAAAAGGGTCATAAATATATAAAGCACACTAGAAATATGTTATAACTTAGCTCTTCACACTTGAACTACTCAGTTATGCACTAATACCACAACTTAAGTTTTCTTCCAGAAACAGTGGTTTTTTCATGTTAACTGTATGTAAGATGGGTGGAATAACAAAGGCAAAAACAGTTATCAACACAAATCCTAAGAATATGTTGAGGTTTTTCCTTGGAAATATTATTTCCTGAAAGGTCTTACTTTTATTTTTAAAGAATTTCCCATTGCTGCCATTTGCATCTTTTTTTTTCTGAGACAAAGGAAATGTCTCAGATCTTTATGTATCTCTGTGTGGAAAAAGGATGTGATTCTAGAAGGGGGAAAAAAAGAAGAAAACAAACATTGTTTCGGACGTCTCTGTCAACCCAAATGAATAAAATACAAATGCTTAGTGTAGTGCTAGTTAGAGAAACAAAAATGAGCACTCCTAAGAGAAATCTAGTGCTCACCATTACCTTTTTATAGTTGTGTGTATAAAGACATTTGGATACTTTGTAGTCACTTATTTAAAGCTATGTACTTTAAAAACCCTTGAATGTTCCAATCCTTCTTCTAAGCAGGAGCTTCAGGCAAGTTTGTTTCACGTTCTGAGGCTAGATAGTGGTAACTAGGGGCCACTGGTCTTCTAGTGTCCTGCTGAAACCAGTTCCAGTGTCTTTGCTGGCTGCCCAGTAAATCAAAGTCGATTTTTTTTCTGCAAGTACTTTAACATAGAGTCTGTCCCCTCTGCAGAGCCCCAAATTTTCTTCAGCATTTTGCATTCCCTCTCATTAGCCACTCCGACTCTTTCTTCATGTTATGGCAAAGTAGGGTTTTGGACTCCTGCAGGACAACTGTGCTACATGAGGTGAGCTCCTTGATTCAAATCATGACTTCCTGGCTGAAGGAGCCTGGCCAAAACACCTGGGAAACCAGGCCCTTGTCATATGCTTCTCTCGCTGTCAGTCTCTGCCCACTGATCAACATTTCATTTGCAGAGGCTCCTCCCATAATCTTGGGAAATGTAAAGGAGGAACAGCCATCTGGACTTTGTCCAAAGGTGATGTAGGGTGTTTGAAACCAAGCCTTTTCATTAGCCCAAACCACATCACAAAGAGGCAATATAGATGCTCCTAGTCTAACTGCTGGGCCATTTACTGCTGCAAAAATAAGCTTCTTAAACTGAGTGAAAGTATTCACAAAATTCTTAACAGAATCTGCCATTTTGGTGCTTTTCCCTTTCCTGTGTTCTGTAAGATGCTATATAAGGTATGCAAAGTTGAGGCCACTGCAGAAGACACTGTTAACTGAGCTGAGCAGCACCAGCTTGCTGTCATCAACAGCCACCTTGTTCATCGCATCCTGGATTTCTTTCATCACCTCTAGATTTAGTGAGTTATTCTCTGATGATTTTGTGGATAAGATGATGTGGGTGAAACTATCTTGCTTCCTGACAACAGTCTCTTTGAATCTGAAGGAACTCTCTGTCAGCCTTGTACTGAAACGCTGCTGCTTTTCAGAAGGCTATCTTTGGCTGCCAGTAATTTGCTTTTTCTTGGCTGTCTGTTCTGTAAGAGATTTCTGTGAAGTAGTTCCCGTTTTTGGTACTGGACCTGTGAATGAAGATTGAGCGTCTCCAGCAATAGCCGAAGCTGTTGTTGTGGCCAAAGTCACTAGTTGAAAAGACTGACTTTTTGTGGTAGTGGCCATGGTCATGGCTCTGGTCACTTAGCCAGATTTATTTTTTTCTGGCAACCAAGCAGGTAGCTTGGCTGTGGTCACCGGCCTGGATGGAAATTGATCTTTTCTGGCAATAACTGATGGTGTGGCTGTTGCTGTGGTCACTGGAAGAGAAGATTGACTTGTTGTGGTAATGGCCACTGGGCCAGAAGATGATTGACTCTTTTTGGTAACTGCTAAGGATGTGGCTTTGGCTTCAGTTACAGGTCTGGATGGAGACTGACCGTTGCTGGAAACTGCTAAGAATGGGGCTATGATTGTGGTTACTGGGCCAGATTGACTTTTTCTGGCAACTACCAAGCTCCTGCCACTGGCTGAAGTCACCAGGATAGACAGAGATTGACCTCTTCTCGAGTTGGCCAAGCAAGTCGCCATGCCTAGGGTCATGTGGCCTGACGGAGATTGGCTTTCTCTGGAAAGGGCTAAGGGGTGAGGCCACAGCTGTGGTCACCAGATCAGATGAAGACAGACTTTTTCTGGCAACAGCCAAGTACGTTGCCATGGTTGCTGTCTCTGGGTCAGAAGCCTGTGGTGCTACTGACTCTATCTGGGGACTGTTCTCCATCCCCATTTTCTCTGGGAGGCCCAGGAAAGCTTCATTAGGGTCCTTGGTGGCTACTTTCTGTGCCATCATGTCTTGGTTCCCCTTCTTGGTAGGACCCAGTTTCTTAGAGTCCTTACTCTGAAAGCCAGCCACCCATGCCTTTCTCTTAACCGAACATTTAGGCATACCTGACTCAGTGGGGTCCATGTTTTTCTGTCTGAAGAGGAGGTGGTGGGGCAGGGTGTTCCTCAACTTTCAGACCGCTGCAAATTAGTTTGTAGGCTTTGTCTCGAACAAGGATGATCTGAGAGAGGCGGCTGTAGGTAGAGCTGGAGCTCTGGCTTTCTTGTGTAGGTGTGAACAGTCTGCCAGCTATGTCAGCCAACTACATCCGCCATCCAGTTGAAGTCATTGGATGTATTCCTCCTCTTACCAGGGCCTACTTTCAGTTTCCATGTGACATCCTGGGTGCCTTTCCGTAGGGATAGTTGGTCCAGCTTCCTTTCTTCTTTTTTCTTTTCTCAATAAACCTTTAAACCTGATTCAAATAAACCCTTTTACTCCTCCAAAGGTACTTCAGTAACTGATAGTCAGAAACCAGTATTACTCAAGACTGTGGTTCAGGAAAGGCAGTCATTTCTGTACTTGAAGAGAACAATGACTGCAAAATTTCATTTCTTAGACTCATACTCTATAGATACCACAGTTATTTATCTACTCACCCAATGAAGGATATTATGTTGCTTCCAAGTCTTACCAATTATGAATAAAGCTGCTATCAATGTTGTTGTGCAGGTTTTTGTGTGGACAAGGAGCATTATTTTAAGAGTTTAGGCCATTTTCCCTCAGAATCTGTTTTAAGAATTTAAAAATTAGCGTATGAAACAATGGGTTTCATTATGGCATACTCACTCACACATGTATGGACTTGGCAAAAATATGGAATGCTTTTCAAAATTGCATGTCATCCTTGGGCCGGGACTGTGCTGATCTTCTCTATATAATCCCAAGTTTAGTGTCCCAGTTATCTTTTCTTACTGTGATAGTAACACTGACCAAAACCTACTTGGGGAGGAAAGGGTTTATTTGACTTACAACAAAGTCCATTATCAAGGGAAGCCAAGGCAGGAACTCAGGGCAGGAACCTGGAGGCAGGAGCTGAAGCACAGACTGTGGAGGAACACTGCTTAATGGCTTGCTCCACTGGCTGGTGCTCAGCCTGCTTTCTTATACAAGACCACCTACCTGAGGTGGCACTGCCTACAGTGGGCTGGGCTCACCCATATCACTCAACAGTCAAGAAAATGCCCCACAGATATGACCACAGGTCAATCCAATGGAGAAAATTCCTCAACTGAGGTTCCTTCTAACCAGGTGTGTCAAGTTGACAATTGAAATGGTCTGGCACATTTAGACTATGTAGTGTTAAAGAGAGCACTGGCCACATGGTTCTGAGTTCCTGACGTCCTAGTTTGCTTCTCTATTGCTGTGATAAAACATTGACCAAAAGCAACTTGGGGATTAAATGACTTATTTCAGCTTACAGGTCACAATCTGTCCTCAAAGGAATCCAAGGCAGGAACTCAGGGGAGGAATCTTGGAGGCAGGAGCTGAAGCAGAGACCATGGAAAAACACTGCTAACTGCCTTGCTCCCCCTGACTTATTCAGCTACCTTTCTTTTCTTGTTTCTTTAAATTTTTTTGAGAAAAGGTCTCTTTGTAGCCCCAGAGAGCCTGGAACTCACTATGTAGATGAGGCTGACCTCAATCCCACAGAGATCCACTTCCTCTCACCTCCAAAGTGCTGGGAGTAATGGTGTGCACCACCATTCCTGGCTTTCAGCTTTCTTATGTAGCCCAGGCCTACCTGCCCAGTGATGGCACCACCCACAGTGAGCTGTACCCTGCTACATCGATTAACAATCAAGAAAATGCCCCCAAAGACATGTACACAGGCCAGTCTGATTGGAGGAGATTCCTCAATTGAGATTCCCCATGTCTAGGTTTGTGTTGTGTTGACAAAATTAACCAGTACAATATACCCCTTGCGAACTTTGACACACAAACATGTCTCTTTAAGCCATAACCTTTCTTGATTGTCCCTAAGAATATCATAAAATCAGACCCAATTTTTAAAATATTTTTTATTGATTTCAGAATTTCATACAATGGATGCCCAGCACTCAGGAGGCAGAGGCAAGTGGATCTATGTGAGTTCAAGGCCATTGTGGGTGGTCTACATAGCAAGTTCCAGGCTACCTGGGGCTACAGGGAGACCCTGTCTCAAAATAAGTAAATAATTTTAAAAGTCCCACAGTCCTTATAAATGTCAGCACTTTAAAATTTCGAGGTTTCCTTAAAATTTCCAAGTCTCTTAACTGTGGATTCCTAAAATAGAAAAAAAGTTAAATACTTTATTTCAAAAGATGAGAACTGAGGCACAGTTACAATCAGATCAAAGTAAAGCCCAAAGCCAACAATATAAATCAAATCTTACAGCTCAGTGTCTAGTATGTGAAATTCACTTATGATCTTCTGGTTCCAAATGGCTTGGGTAGTTTCACTTCTCCAGCTCTGCCATCTTCAGTAAATATAACTTGTCTTACAGGATTAGGCTAGCTTAACTCCACACCTGCCACTGTCCTTGATGGATGTGTCCTGGCATCTGCAATATCCTGGGGTCTCCACAGCAGCTCAATGCTACACTTTCACTAATGACCCCTCACAGCCTCTCTTATGACCTTGTCATTCAGTGCCAAGTCTGTTCACTATGATCCCTTCATACCTTCATAGCTATTACCACATGGGGCATTCTGACATATTGCCAAATTTGGCTCCCAGCTTGAGATGCAGCATTGACCCTCTCTGGATCACAGCTTCTGTGTGCTGACCCTGAGGGAATAATGTCTAGGAGATTTCACCTCAAAGATGTTGATCTCTTATTAATCACATCTGATCCTTCAGTGCCAGCTGACCAGAACTGAGTATCCCAGTAAAGCAAAAGTATTACGTCCACAATTCTTAATCCAAAATTCCACACAAACAACCTTGATAAAGTCTTGGCCTCCCACTGAACTGTCACATGCCAGGTCTGAATTGTCTGCGTTGCTCTCAGCATTGTCTTCCAAGTTCCTATTAAAGAGCCCATGAAGCTCTGAAGACTCAATAGCTTTTACCAGCAATGAGAGTTCTATTCTTCAATTTCCTCACCAACAGATGAATTATCTTATTTTATGTCTATTGATCTTTGCTAGATAGGTATAAACACAGATCTTTTTACCATTTTAGTACTTTTTACTATTTGTTTCCTTATTGTTAAATTTTTTTTCTTTTTTAATTTTTAATTATTTATTTAATAAACATAATTAGAAGAAACATTTCATTACAACAGCATTGACACATTCCATAACAATTTCCAGAGATAAGATACATCTCTTTCAAAATTGGCTGTAAATTTTTAGGTTTACAGTTGAATTAATAGAGTTATACAATATTGAACTCAGTATAAACCCTATAAGACATAAAATTGAATGATATTTTACCCTTTAAAAAATATCTCCATTTCATTTTAAAATATGCTGTTTCATACAGAAAAACTCATTTTTAATGCAACTAACACTCAGATGTTTGCACATGATTCTCTAATCTCTATATATCTTATTATTACTAGTCACAGTCAATGACTTTTTTAAAAAATTATTTAATAACCACATGATTAGAAGCATTTCATTACAGCATTAACATATTCAATAACAATTTCCAGAGCAAAGATGCTTCTCTTTCAAAATTAGCTGTAAATTTTGAGGTTCACAGTTAAATTAATACAGTTATACAGTATTGAACTCAGTATATACCCTATAAGACATAAAGTAGAATGAGTTTTTACCCTTTAAAGAAGATCTCC